TAGTAGAGAATTACGGTGATACTTCCCACGTGGGCATTTATTTATCCGCGAAGATATTGTCACCAGACATAGATTCCTAAGCCAGCAATTAAACATGCGTTTCATGAAAATCACTACGAACTCAATAATGCACCCATGAATATAGTGGCCAAAGAGCTCCGTTTAATAGCGTCTTCGTGTATGTGGACGACTACAGTAAGAATAAACCATCAAGACATATGACCCGAGCATGTGAAGAGACTATGAGCGAAAACAGAAAAGATTCGTCACGAAACGACGGAACTCTGATAGTGAGTTCTCACACAAAATGAACACTTCTCTGTTCATCTTGCGCTAACTGCTTCACTCTTCATGTGTCTATCGGAGTCAGCTCACTGCATTGGGTCAAGGATACTTTCAAGGCTCCCGAGATACAAATCATTATTGCAGTCACATCATCCCCTCTTCACTTTAAGATGATTGCATTTGATCTAGTTAAGTACCCTCAACCAACAATTATCGAGCACTACCCACACAAACAGATAGTCAGCCCCAGGTCCCTTGAGATTAGAAGCGACTCCGCTCTGATGCTTACACGCACGCTTACATGGTGCATCGATTGACTTAGCGCCTTCGTGAGGCGAAAAGTGCCTACTTCTCTGTGGCCGATAAAAGTAATTCTGAGCCCTTTACTTTTAAGACTCCTTAACTCATCTCTATCACCCATCGCAACCACACCTTAACACCAGAAATATATATATCTAACATATAGAAGAGGAACATCTTCAAAGAGGATAAACTATTGAATAGAGAGCCAAGATAGCGTATCAGACTCTAGTTCTCACGGACCATGCGGTGCCTAGGTCTTGAGTGTACCCACGAGCAAAAGCTCCATTAGAAATACCCAGATCCGACAGGAATGCAATCAAACAAGGTGGCGATCGAAGTGCTTAAGACTGAGGATGCACAAAAACGGCAAAAACAATTTTCCGATTCGAGGCTCTAGGTAGTGGAGTTTGTTGTCAAGGTTCGATGCACTGCGTACAGACTTCGGAAATATGGATGCAAAGCGTAATACGGACGCAAGAAGTCTTGCTGAGATGAAAAGGGTGAAGGTTCTCTTGCGGCACGTTATTGTCTCTGTCTTGACATACGTCTCGCCAATCCCTATTCTACAAGACAACTCACAAGTTTAGGTTTATGGCTGCGAGTCAGAAGACTTGGTCTACAAAAGGAATATGATATGGACTCCTTCTTTGTACTTTGGATTTTAAAATTTCTGTTGCGGGGGATTTTTAAAGAGTGTGGTCTAAGTGTCGGTCTATTTTTAATGTTGTTGGAGCACAGTTTTTAATTCGGTTGCGTGGTTTGATTAACTGTGTGATTTTCGGATTCTTAATTCTTGTGCGCGAGGTGAATTCTATTATATGTGCTCACATATTTGCATCCATCAGAACTTATTGTTGCGGTTTTTTAATTTGTTGTGGGTTTTTTAATTTGTTGTGGATTTTTAATTTGTTGCGTTTTTTAATTTGTTGCGGTTTTTTAATTTGTTGTGGATTTTTAATTTTGTTTTTTATTTGTTGTGGATTTTTAATTTGTGTGATTTTTAATTTGTTGCCTTTTTTTAATTTGTTGCAGGATTTTTAATTTCTTGTGCTTTGCACTTCCCAGCCACCGTACTATCAGCCCAAATAGCAAAGAGAAATTAAAAATGCATGCCGTGAAAGAGTTTGGGTCTTAGGAGGTTAATAGCTTAATTTTAAAGGGGAGTGTCAAAAAGTCAATGCTTCCCTGGCAGGTCGCGGAGTGTGGGAGTGCCTACTGGGGTCAGCAGGGGAGCTGGCCCCAGGGAGGGGTTACCTGCCCCTCCCTTCCTTCCCTCCCCATCTCCAGCTGCCTCCCTCTTCCCGCTCCACCACAACCACCCACACATGCAGGGCCTTGGAGTAGGGGTATGTCACCAGGGTGCAGAGGAGGCTACCCCCCCCTCTGTCCCCTTCTGGCTGCCTCTGCCTCAATTTTATCCCACAACTTAGACATTCACATTATTCACACTCTCATTACACATACATATGAGCGACGTCTGCGCGTCGAATTTATATACTCCACAACCATATAGCGGAGCAATTAGACAGAGAGATATTGCAGACACCCTACATTCTGAATGATAAGCCAGCAGGAACATATGAGAGAGGAATACCCTTTAGGGAATGTGAGTAGGGACACAATCACGGAGGTCGCAGGAACAATCCTAACCAATCAGGGGGTCGTGTACAATGCCCCATCCACATCCCTGGCGTGCGTTAAATGAGAGCATATAGTGGCGGAACCACACCTCTCCTCAAAATTGTTAAACTAGACAGCAATATACGAACAGTGTCGAGGGACTACAAATCACAGGCCGTGGAGGCACCTGTATCATGTGCTGCCGTTACAGGCCTCCGCACTACGCCGCGTTCACCTTGGCAGCCTGTCCCCTCAAGCTCCATGTGCGTCTCCCTCATCCTGTAGTTTATAACTTTGTGACCCACCATTTAGACACTACCTACATGCTATCAACACAACCATATACCGAATACTGCTAGCGGATTTGGTGCCGCTAGGGAGGTGTATGGAGGTCATTCGTCCCGCCACCCCCCATTACTACCTCTGCGGCCTCAATTTGTCCATTCCAAACGGTCTGTTCCTGTTCTTGACAAGACGGGAGGGCCTAGATCTGGAGAGGTGGCACCCTCTGCCGACTGCACTAATGGGATCGTGGCCCGAAATGATGGCGGGATGCCTCTGCGCTTTGCTGGCTACTTGTTCGAGCCGCCGTGTGTTCTGCCTTCTACCTCACCCCCACCGCATTGGAACTATAGGACACATGAGGAGGATAGATCCACTGCACCCTCGGGTCTCGAGGGAATGCAAGTTCCCACCCACCTCCAGGGGCAAGACCCAATGGTCCACGACCACACAACACACCACTGAAGCTCACTAGACCCGGTTTGTAGAGTACGCTTGGGGAGTGTGAATCGTGTGTACAGCGTCTCTTTATGTCTGTCTCCACGTTGGTTGAGTGTGGAGTGAGTGCATATGAGAGCATGAGGGTGGGAATGGATGTTTGTGTCTGTGTGTGCCTGTATGTCTGTGTCTATATGTCAGGTTGGGTATCAGACGCCACCTCTCTGGGGACACCTCAGGCCCTCCAAGGTTTGGAGGCCTATCTCCACCCACCACCACTTCCCCTGCCGGTGGCGGACTCCCTCAGGTGTCGGTGTGCTGGTGGTTCTTTGTGTCTGGGGGTGGGCGTCCGGGTACACACCGGCTCACTCCTTGGCGGCCGCTTGTCGGGGCCTGGGGCCTGGGGCTCGCTCGGGCCCCCTTTGGAGGTGGGGTGCCCCCGGCCTCTCGGCCTGGGGCTCGGTCACTCAGGCACAGCTGGGGGCCGGCGGAGCTCACGGGCGCGTCACTGCAACTCCCCCTGGCTTCTGCTCCGCGGCTGCTGGGCGAGCTTCACGGCGCGCTGAGCCGTCACATGCTAGACTGACCCCCTTGCTGTCTTCCTGCATGCTGCTGTGAGTGATACCTCGGTGCATTCTGGTGGACTCTCATCCTGTCTAGGCTCTCACTGGAGACAGTTGGGCGCGGCCCTTCCCCCCTCAGTTGGAGCCCTCCTGGTCGCTCCCGTTCCGTTCTAGGAGGCACTGGCGTGGATCTTCTGGTGAAGTTTTGCATCTCTCCTCGTCTATAACCTAGCTGTACATCCTCACACCTGGTACCCCAGACGGCGACTTGGCATTGTGGCTGTGTCGACCCCCCACCCCCACTCTAGGTCAGACATGATATACAATAGATAGAGACAATGAAACTCTTCTGGTGCAATACACTAAGAGCAGGCCCGGCTTGATCCGACACAGGCACATTGCACAACTGCGCCAGCGTTCGCCACCCTGCCTCTCTAGTACCCGAAATTACATCCTTTCTATTGCGACACTGCTATCTCTATCATAGGCGAGCATCTGTCCTGCGCTAGGGCCTGCTATCAAACAACAATCGATACTTATCTAGTATTTACATGCTGTTACACTTTCTCTAGCTCTAGATAATGCAGAGTATGGTGTTGTGTTTTGCTATGATTGCTTGTGTAATGCTTTCTTGTTTCCTCTTCTTTGCTTGTTTGCTATTTACTTAATCTCCCACACAGCAATTGGGCATTCCACGAAGATATCCCTTATCTATTTTTCTCCCTCCCCTTTCTTGAACATCTGTCCCTGCGTCCCCCTAATCTTTTTCCTTCCTTCCCTACACTCTCTCTATTACATTCTCCCTTTTACCATATCTACATCACCCCTCTCATGTACTGGTCACATTTCTATCTGTAACAATAACTGAAAATAAAAAAAGTATAAAAAAATAATAACAAGACAGACAAGCATCGAACCAAATGCGGACCAATACTGCAATTGCCACGATGGATTCCATTGCAAAGGTAAATCCAGGTTGGGGTATCTCTTTGTTGGTCTTCAGAGCAACAATTCTTGTGATAGGCTTGAACAAGAAGCACCCAATACGGGACAGGCGGATGAACAAAACCCACGAGAGAAAAGAGGCCCATTGCTTGCTCGTTTGAAAAGCTTGATGGGCGCGGTGTGTTTTATGTATGTGGTATACCGAGCCTTGAGCATGTATAGAAAGATTGCAGAGAAAAAAAAAACGAACAAACCAAAAGCCTATCAGCTACATCTACTACAATTCAACTGAGTTCTCCACTATGCTCCCGAAGATCATTTCTGATGTTAGATAGTATTTATTATCTCATTATTTATATTTCTAATTACGGCCCCTATACTGATTGCAAAAAAAAAAAAAGATAAAACACCCTTATCTTCCACATTTCTTGACACCTAAAAAATCTTGAAGAGCATATATGGTCCCTTTAGACGCAACACAAGCACCTGCCGAATTCGGAGGCCAGGGACCCAATTAATATCCAGCTATTCTGTTGTCCCCGCACCCTTCAACCCTTCTGGCTCTCAACATGTGATTACACGGGTCTTTGTGTTCATCTCTGGTCTCAACATTATGTAACATTTGGGTCCAAACAGTGTGATCAAGAGTCCAAAACTTGAAGCAAGAATGGCAAACACCTCCACTGCATCTGCAAGATTTCCTGGTGAGCTGATATAAGCAGGAACAAAGGCCACCCACACAGCACAGAAGATCAGCATGCTGAATGTGATGAGCTTGGCCTCATTAAAACTATCAGGGAGATTCCTCACCAGGAATGCAATTAAAAAACTGAGGAAAGCCAGCACACCAATATAGCCCAATAACACTGCAAAACCAACAGTTGACCCAACTGCACACTCATACACTATCTTGTCATTGTGGTATTGGGTGTTTTTATGTGGAGTTGGAGAGGAAGAGACAAGCCAGGTAGTGCAGATGGCTGCCTGAATAGATGTCAGAAACAGAACTGTTCCTCTCTGCTGCATTGCACCAAACCACTTCAGACTGGTTCCCCCTCCTGGCTTGGAGGCTTTGAACACAGCCAGAACAACCATGGTTTTTACCAGGATGCATGAGACACACAGCACAAAGCTGATGCCAAATGCTGCATGCCTGAGTTGGCATGTCCACAGTCTGGGTCGTCCAATGAACAGCAGTGAACAAGAAACAGAATAGCTGAGAACAAAGGAAACACGAACTGAAAGGAAACACAACTTAAGTGACAACAATAGCTGGAAACTAAGTTCTGAATTGTTGGCACGTACTATAGGTGTTGTGCGATGGTAGATAAAGATCCCCAGAACAACAGCACATATAAATGTTCCCAGTAAGGAGGTTGCTGTCAAACAAATACCCAAAGGGTCATGATAGGAGAGAAACTCTGTCTTCTTAGGAACACAGTAATCACGCTGTGGGTTTGACCAAAAATCCTCTGGACAACTGGTGCACTCCAAGGAGTCTGACAAAGAGGGGTTGATGTTGAAATGCATCCTATATTTCACAGAAATTAAATCAATTATGTCATACAGAAAAACAAAGACCTACTGCTCTTGTTAGTGATTTTTCCCTCAGAACAAGGGATGCAGTCAAAACAGCATTCAGGCTCTCTCTTCCTTCTCACCATGTGGGTACCAGGAGGACAACTCTCACTGCATACTGATCGAGGTGGCTATTGGACATAAAAAATAGAACAAGGAAGTACCAGAGAGGGAGGAAGGGAGATAGACCAACTCTCACTCGTGCATACTGACTCGAGGATTGCGCTTCTTTAAGTTGTACATTGAACATTAAATAACAATATTGTACTTGCCTGTCCTACAATTTGCTTACACTGCCCCATTGATACTGTACAATGTCAATAAGAATGGTACATCTGCCAAATACAAATATATCTATAAGCCTGTATTGGCCTTCTAAAGTTGCCTAGGAAGAATATGCCTCCATCAATTATGAGTTCTTCAATCCTTTTAAAGCCTGTCCCTACTCTTAACTTTCACCCTATCTTATTTCTGAATGTTGTAAGTTATACTCTTCACACATCAGAGATCTCACAAAATGCACTTGTATTAATAACATCCATAAGTCGCCCTACTGAAATACCACAATCGACGCGCACTCTACTCGTACACAAATATAGATCATACGCTGTGTGGAATCGGTTGGGCCAAACTGGCATGTGGTGTCGAACAGGAGGTATCTACTGCGTTTTCCGTCATATATTAAACACAATAGTCGCGATTGTACAATAGCAAGATGCTATTAATGAATTAAAAGTAAATCATATACCTCTGCCTGTGCATTCGCAAAAAAATAATCCCCCTAATAAGGCTAGAAATTACGAGGATGCCTCCTATGTGACTTTTTTATCCCCGTAGCCCCTGGAGCTCTGCTCCAAAAATAATTATAGAACGAATGATTTATTCATAGATGGAGTGTAAAATGATATCACATCTGCCATGGCTCCAGTAACTTTACAGTGCAAACAGTGGCAATTTTTCAGTTCAGTAATCAAATATAATATTATATCTATGGTACCTACATATATAAAGTCATTTATATCTAAGTCTCAATCAACCAAGGCACATTACTAATAATCCTGTATAGAAGTTAATGACCTCCATGACTTAAATAACTTAACTACTTTTGCTCACAAGTATGGCAAATCCCTTTTCAGAAATTCTGAAAGCATGCAAAAACAATGCGTTCAAAGGTGGAGTGTACAATGATAACACACCTGCCAAGGCTCCAGTGACTGCAAAGAGGCACAGCTGTTCCCACTGAAAGGCCCTCTTCCTGGCTTGCACCGCAGCATGTCATCAAGGGAATATGCCAGTGCATAAACAGCTTTGTACACATTATACTCAGGCCGCAGGTTGGAAATGTCCAAGTACTCATTGTCCACATTTCCTAGATCTTCCTGTCCAGTGCATAGTGCACCTCCACCTTCCAGCCAGCCTGCTGGAGCTGGAGCAAATCTGCACTGAAATGTAAATTCCCAAAACTGATTCACCTGAAATATTTTGAAAAATATTTGTTACACATTATAAAAATATATAATTGTTGTGACACACACAGAGTAAAAGTGTTTAAGTCTCACCAAGCTATTTCCGTAGCTACTGTTGTGATGTAGATCAGGATGTATTTGCAACAGGAATTCCCTGAGCCCTGGTATTTCTCCTCGACGAATGGTGATACCCAGTGTACCACCCAGGTATGGCATAAAGTGAGGTGTTTGGAGCACAGCAGATTCTGTCCAGGCCTCGCTGGCTATCCACTGTAGACCTGTCACATTTTGCCTTACTACCTGTGAATTAAATTAGACCAAATCTATGAAGTAATATTGAACCTCCAACTTCTTTACTGAAACAGTTTTTGATCTTTAAAATTAATTCTGAATTATTACATTTTTGTACTCATTTCTGTACTGACAATGATACGTAATACGTGTTTTACACAATATAATTATGAAGACCTCTGTAACTAGTAATTATTTAAAGTATTTTAAAGTGAAACCTCATCCATAAGGTGCATCATGCGACTAGGATGTTCAAAGACAATGACAACTCGAGCTGTAGAGGTTTTCATCAAATCAACAATCCTCCGGAGTTCATCTGTGTCTTTGTCCCAGGGTAAAACCTCAGTGTAGGCCAGGCAACCTTCACCAGACACACTCAGCTCAGACTGAAAGGATCTGGCTGCATGAAGCCCATAATCATCATCACTGACAAGCAGACCTGCCCAAGTCCAGCCAAAATGCTTTAGAATCTGGATCATTGCACGTACCTAAGTGAATACAGATTAAAATGTAAGTGCATTAAAAAGAAGAATTTTTTAAAAATATAATTGCAATTTAGCTTTATTCTTTGACACAATACAGAAATGAAATAGAGCATAATTCTCAAAACTAAGTATATTATTATTTCTAATATTTTCATATCTTTCTTTGTTCTTCTTTTACACAGATATTGAAACATACTTTTGCGTTTCCATTTTAATTTTGATGACAAATTTTCACCTGGAAAGCATCACTTGGGATCGTTCTAAAGAAGGATGGATACTTTTGACGGTCACTCAGGCAGGAACATGTGGCATAATAACTCACCTGTGAAAGACACAGACTGTATATTCGGGAGCTATCCATGTAGAGATATCTTAATTTTGTCATCATGACTGCATTATTTTTTATTTCATAAAATGGTTTTACATTTTCAATGAAATCAACGCAATCCAAGAAAACTGTTACATGGTCAAGCAGAAAACTTACCATAGGTACTCTGTACAAGCCTAAGACGTTGGAGATTGCAATAGAATTTGTAGAGGACGGATCACCCACAACCCCTATGACTGGAGGATTTCCAACACATGTATCATCTACTACAATTTGATCCTCTTGACCACTGGCTAATGACAATGCTCCCCGGAATCCAATTCCAAGTTCAAGGCAGCTATCATACAGAGTGTATCCCAGAGTCACATTTGGTAGCAGGTTTGAGTTTCTGTTGATCTCATCAATAGCAAACGCCATGGTCTGTGCGGACTTAAAACCTAGGACATACATACTAAGGCAAGAAAAATGTAATTACTAATATATATAATACAACACAGGTTTTAAATTATAAGTAAACGAGTGCCTTTTGAAAATGTTGCAAAAGTAGAAATATTATACGCAATCAGGGAAACTGAATAACAATTAAAGACATATATCAAAGGAAAAAAAATGAAAAAGAAGACGCATTGTGTAGTTATTTCAGATACAAAATACATATTTATACTGGCACTAAGTTTGAAAGTTTTTTTATTCTATTTTTTTCCTGCTTTTTCCCTGTCCTTGTTACCCATGGCATGTAGGCTGTTGTGGCTGCGAGGTAAAAGACAGATCAGGAACACTTGAAAAGAAATGGACTTGAAACAGTCCACCCAGAACCACATCTCCAGTTTTGTGCATCTCATTTAGATGAAACTGTCCCTGCAGCTGACAGGACAAAGAAAACTGAGGAGTGGATAGAATAGAAAAAACATAGGAACACAGCAAAACAACCACGACTAAATTGTTTTGCAAAGATGAGCACATGACAGCTTTCTGAATTGTTGAGATCAGTCATTAGGTTTTATTGTTTGCCAATCCCTTTTATTGACTTACTGTGTTGTTTAATCTTGCACACCACCCATCAGGGAAGAAGGCGGAGTATACTTTTCATTTGAGATTGCTTTGTATCCAGGCAAACTCAGGGAACACTCTGTGAGTAAATTAGTCATCAGTAATAACTCACTGAAGAATTGCCAGAGTAGCAGGTGTTTCTGTGTGCATATCAAGTGACACAAAAGAAGAATAGCAAAAATGACATAACATTATTCATGTAAAGTAAAGTTAATGTGGAATGTTCAACAACATCAAATTAAAGAGTTTCAGTCCATATTTGATTTGAAAGAGAGGGACAACAAATTACTTATTTGATCACTACCCAGAGTTCGTGGCCACAGTTGAATAGTTGTAATCTAAATTGACCTGTAAATTAAAAACTTAGCTCAGACTGTACAGTGCCTGTATCATTGCACATGTTTCCCAAATCCGTCAGTGAATCTCATGCTCCACTTTCCCCAAACTCGTGAACAAGACCCTAAGACATTTAAATCCCTTCGATTGGGGTAGTAATTTGTCCCAGATGGAGTTGGCATTCCACCTTTTCCGGCTGAGAACTATGGTCTCTGACTTGGGGGTGCTGATTTTCACACTTGGGCGCAAACCACTCCAATGCAAGTTGGAAGTCACCACCTGATTAAGCAAACAGTAACACATCATCTGCAAAAAGTAAAGATGAAATCCTGAGGCCATCATAGTGGAGAACATCCACCAGCCTGGACAGACCAAGATATTCTGTCCATGCTTGCCCACTTTCTCAAACATCCTTGAGATAAAGACTCATCCAGTTCGACAGCCTGGATGAAAACCTCATTGCTCCTCCTGAATCAGAGGTTCAGCTAACAGATAGACCCTCCAGTATGCTGGTACAGACTTTCCCAGTGTCATGATCCCTCAGCTTAGTTTCATCCACACATGAAGCAAAAGGCCTAAAATCCAGCCTTTGTGGGTGTAATTTAACACAGTCCCATGACAGAGTTTAATGCAGGGGTGTCCAAACTTTTTGCAAAGAGGGCCAGATTTGGGAAGGTGAGAATGTGTGGGGGCCAACCATTCAGCCTGAAATATTTTGAATCATTAACATTAAATGCAAATGAATGACCTTATATTTCTTTCCTTTTTTCACACACAAATTTTATTATAATTTTTTTATTATGAATCATTTATTATTAAACGTTTTTACCAAAATCATGTATTTGAAAAACACACAAAATGAAGAAAAATTAAACATCTAAATTCAAAACATGTGAACAGGAAAATAACATTAAGAGTTAACATTCAAAAGTACAAAACATTGTGGGCCATATAAATCGTACATCACTCGTTCTTTAGTTGTCTTGTTTTGTTTTATTGACCATCATTTTGACCACTTTTTTTTTACCATCATGGTTTTGTTTTTTTTTTACTTTGTTACAGACTAGGGTTGTTAATCCATTTCTCTCACCAGCCATGGCAGGTGCGCCATCCGTAATAATACCAGTGACTTTATTCCATGGTAGTTTCATGTCATCTACAGCGGAACAAACAGCAGCAAATAAATCTGTTCCTCTTTTTTGGTCCTTAAGGCTCTGAAGGTCAAGTAGCCTCATTGTTCTGACACACAACACAAAACTATCCACAACACTACACACTAACTACACAAGACAACACATTAACTACACACTCCAAACACGCTAAACGTCACAAATCTCTCACATCTCAAAACTCGCTCTCTTTTTCTGCTGTCTCTCTCTCTCTCTTGCCGTCACTCCTAAAACTTCCCCCTCTTCCTAAACGACCAAATGTCATGTTGCCATATCATTTTTTGATTGGTCGACATGGTGCGTTTTTCCACCAACATGAACAGGCTGTTTTTTGTTTTATTTTTTACATTTTTTGGTCATAAGCAGAGCGTGCTTGCCAGCACTGTCCTTAGACATTAAACGTGGCGAAACTATTCAGGAAAAAACTCCGCATATGTATTGTTTATCATGACTGTGATTTTATGTGGCCTATCAGCACAATTTAAAAGCTGGTATATATTACCTTGTTGTTTTGTAATCTTAAAGTGGTCATGTGATTGGCTTACCATGACTACTTTATTCTTCCTCAGTCAAACAACAACACTCATGCATTAGCTGATTGTCGC